TCCAACCTGAACCTGCGTCGAAAACCATGGAAAACAGGCACCATTATGAAGGAATTGTCCTCTCCAAGCGAGGCAACTGGGCCAACGACATCATTAAATGCAGTGATGATATTTAATTGCATTACCTGCTATTATTAAATTTCCTGCTCTGCAAGCAATAACATGACTTTTTAGATCCTCAAGGAATTATTACTACGATGCACATTCAATGTGCAGTTCCTTTTTGACAACCAACTCTATAGATAAATAGACGGCGTTGCTATGGGCTTGCCGCTTGGAACACTCCTAGCCGATGTCTTCATGGCAAACTGGAGAGATTCCAACTGAGCGATCAGATCGATAAGATTTAACATCACGGTCGCTAGGTTGATGATAGCTTTGCAATTGACACCTCAGAAACCGACGTTGCTACCCTCTTAAATGCTGTAAATCAGCCATGTCCGTCGATCAAATTCACGTTGGAGATGAAAACGGCCGCTTCGCTCTCTTTCTTGGATGTTCTTCTAAACAGGAGACCTGACGGTAACGTCCGAAGGAGCGTCTATCGGAGGAAAACCTGATCTTGAAAATACACGAACTTCACCAGTTTCCAAACTCTCCAACAACAACGAAATGTAGTTCGGCGTTTGGCAGAAAGAGCTAGAAAAATTTGTTCAACTGATAGCATCGAGGAATAGCTTAGAAAAATCCAGGAATTGCTTCGCGACAACGCGTATGCTGACAGGTTTATAGCAAAGAACAATGCCGAACGACTAGTAAATTCCACCACGCCGACTGACGAAAGGAAAACTTTGTTCCTCAAAGTCCCTCTTTAAGGGGACGCTGCGATTGAACTCCTAAGGAGGTGCCTTAATCAAGCTGTCTCGCAAACCCTTCCATCAGTGAGGGTTCGAATATAATTTCCTACTTACCCAATTCTACGCGGAGAAGGTGAGGATAGGTTGCCACCCCAAACCACCTCAATGTGCATCTATTCTTTCACTTGCGTCTGTGGATCAGGTTATATTGATAGCACGAGTCGGCGCCTATCCAAGAGGATACGAGAACACCGCCCGGAATGGCTAGGAAAAGGCGAAACTAGGGGCATAAGCAGTGCCGTCCTCGAGCATGTTGTTGGTTCCGGAGCGGCCACCATCAGGTTACGAAAACCAATCTTGTGATCACAGAAGAACCACTTTCATGCTCTGTACCTACATTGGCCGAAGGTCGACTAACGCTGCAACTATCTGCGCCTCTCCGCTCTCACCCCCCTGGCACTGACTTTTATTACCCCCACCCCCATATTCCTACACTCCGCTTGTGTTTTAAGACGAACTTTAATCGATTTCTCTTATCACTGACATGCTTTTCTTTCTATCCCGTTCACATATAATTGTAGTGGTCCAAGGAGAATTTATCGAAAGCGACGTATGCTCCCGACCTCGTCTTCGGATCCTCCTTCATCAAAACAGCATTTTGCAAGTTCAAATAGGTTAGGGTAACAATCGGGAGATGGCACCCAAAAAAATCCGCCTAATCAAACAGCCTGTCTACCAAGACAGGTGGTAATAGGGGTTTTATGGGTGGTGGCTGGTCGGGATGTACGATACTATCCGACAGAAAGCCTTATTTGAACAGGTGAATGATCGCAGTTGGCCCAACTCTCCGTTCCGTTATTACAAAATGGGTCGCCAAAGGCAGTATAGTGGTAACGGAGGAGAGGAAGGCATATAATCGTCTTCCCTCAGAAGGTTATCTACCTTTCTCTGTTAACCACTCAAAGAACTTCAAGGACCTTACCACCGGACGGCACACCAATGTCACTGAGGCATACTGGAGTTGACTGAAAAGGAAACTCCACGAGGGAGGCCCTCTATGTGGTCGAACTGTGTGGGCTCACATAGACAAAGTACAGTATCGTCTTCGGTTTGGCCTCATTGCCATGTCTTTGACAGATGCCTGGGAACTGTTCCTGTCCCATGTTGTGCAGACTTATCCTATTTAAAAGTGTTTTTTTTTTGTAATAAACTGCCATAATGCGAATGTATGCCGTATATTCAGGTGTACTTGTGTAACGATGTGGAAGGTTAGATAACAGCGACCATCGTCCATGTAACCTCCTGTGATGTTCGTTCGGCCAGCCCATGTTAGGCCGTCGCGGAAAGTCCAAGTAGTGCGTGAAAGTATGCTTTCAACCGCTGATATAGCCTGAAGGCGTTTGAGTCCTCTGTTAAAGGTATTATTTCTAGGTAACGGAATTTTTGGATGCCATCTCCCGATTGTTACTTAGGTTAGCATGCAACTATAATGAGAGAACATATTTAACTGATTAGTAGCGCTCATTCCCACATGTTACGAGACAGTCAAGAAAGCATGAAAGTTCGGCCAAACGCAGAAGACACGGGCAATGCAAAATGCACGTGATGGTGCATATGCCTAGGCACAAAATCCAGGCAAAAGTGATGGGATTGCGATTGCAAATCTACACAACAAACTGAAGCGACTTTAGGAAATAGCATGAAATATTTGCGAGATCACAATCATAAATGGAAAGGAGGCTTGAATGCACAATCAAGCCCAATTACTGCTGACAGATGACGAACAGCTTTCCAGACAACCTGCATATAGCCATGTTGGTTCGGAGATAGCTACCGTCCGAAGCACAGACATGCGGTGTAGTAAGAAGACTGGAGGAATGAGATTGTGGGAACGAGAAGGAAGCTGTAACCGAAAAGGCGTGTGCTGAAGTGACAAATGTAAGATATTAAAAGTTCGGTCGATGGAAAATTACAAGGGCACGGTGAAGATGGAGTAATGTCTAGTCGGCCGACGGCAACTTCCTCCTTTGCATCCGCGTCCCCGCAGGACTCCACTGATGCGATTGTATGCACTAGAGTAAACAGTTTGTGTCCCTCTACCAGATAACAGTTATCTGTTGCACATTTGGAGGTTTAATGTTGAACTGGCGTATGGGTGCACTGGGTCATGTGTCCTCTCGTCAAAGCTGACCCTAGGAACTGCGTGAACAGTGACGCTGCACTTGCAGAATTTGTATTAGGCAGAGATGTTAACAATGATCGCAGGTAGGGTTTTGACAAGAGGCATCCAAAGGACGAACGTGTTTCAGCAAGAGAGCCCATATGGCCCGGCATTTCTTCCATTTGTAGCGTAGAATAGTATTTTGTTATTTTAGATGCTGTTGATTACAACTGTGCAACAGTTGTCTTGTTCTCTCTGTCATTTTTTTCTCAATTTATCCGTGACAAATCCAACCTTTACTTGCCACTTCACTGACGTTACCAATCTTCCGAGTAGCCCAGCTCATCTACTTGCAACTGCAGCAAGTTCCCGAGCCTGTAGTTCTGCATATATGCTCGTGTGATGACTGGTGTCGGACTTCATGTTTTTACTCTGCGACTTTGGCCGTAGCTGTCATGCAATGACACCTAAGCACGAAAATATTAGCCACATTTCTTGCCAATTTTAGCCCTTCAGAGCCAGGTGAAACAGCCACGGTGTGTGTAGACTTGCGCCGCATCTACTGCACTCGCTCCTTCCTGCCTGAGACCGCCATCATGACAGAGTCGAGCAGACCGGAGACGTGGGAGGCTGCATGTGGATAGTGCAGCTGAGCCCGCACCTTGGCGTTCCACGCACATCCGCCTGTTCACACGAGAATTGACAAGATTTTAACCAATAACAGCAACACCGCAAAGGGTCAGAAAGAGAAGGAGGACGATCGGGCGGCCATACGCATGACCTGTACATCCAGCTGGGGGCTCAAGCCCACCCACCGGCAGGAAATCAGGTGTGAGAGAACTGCCAGCTCATACTAGGCCGCGAAGGCATGGTTTGCAGATGCTTACGGAGTTTTAGGCGACTGTCATTATATATACCGCGTCAATAAGATAGGCAAAGAACATATTCGTCCTCACTTGCCTGAACTGTTCATGGTCCAGGGCCACGAGACCAAACAAATCTGCGGCGATCCATTCATCCACCACCGAGGTGATGAGTCATAAAGCACGCAGCAGTCAAACTCGCAGCCAAACATACCCCAAATGGTCAGGGCCGCGAAGAGGAAAAAGGTCGATCAGTCCAAGTCTGACTATCTCGGTTCGATGACGACGAAGGTATCATCCCAGAACTTCGGTTTGTGGTGCTGGAAGACCAGCGACTCTAACCATAGCAGGATCGCCTCGGCGATAAATCCCGAAATCGGCGAACCCATTGGTGTGCCCTTCACCTGTTCGTAGATTGTCCTGTTGAACGGGAAGTACGTCTTCAGACAGAGCTGGAGGACTTGGGCGTGTCCAAGACGATTCTCAACTCTTGTCCCAACGACCGTGTCTACTTCTTCAAGACTACTTCCTGGGACTCGTCTCTTCGCTTCTATTAGAAATGGCTATCTCAGTCAACCCTGCCTTTGTCGGTAACGTTATTCTGCCCATATTGCGCGCCGCTGGCTAGGCGCGAAAGAAAGCCCCAAGGCGCATTCCCGATCGCGACCAGCGATATGTAATATCCGAAGCACGGACATGCATGGGTTAGAGATTAGTCATACGCTACAGACGCTGACATCTCCTTTGTCAATGCTGAATTTCAACGCCCAGTCGTGGGTGGTTAGTCAAAAGCCAGCTACATCAGACCCAACTACGAATTCGGGGGTTCTTTCTGCAAGTTTTAAAACCAAAGCAAACAGACCACTCTCTGGCATTCACACTACCACTTGTGACTGGGAATGGGAACCAGCATGCAATGGAATATCGAATGCCAAAATTTGAAGTTTATTTATACTGGACAGATGGTGAGAAATTAGCTTAGACAATCTGCGGATAATTATTTTGATATGGCGCTGACCACTGTCCGAAACTGGGGCATGCGATGGAATACAAAGACTGGAGGCAGGAGATTATGGGACGAGAAGAAAGCTATAGTCGAAAAGGCGCGATATGAAGTAGCAAAGGTAGTATTTTCAAATGTCGGTCGATAGAAAATTACAAGGGCACAGTGAAGATGGATTAAGGTCTAGGTGGTGGGGGACGACGACGTATAACTACGGGTAGGCGTCCTCGTAGGGCTCTACTGATGCGTTCACGAACTCGTCCCCACCAGCCGGCTGCCGTGAGTGGATTCGCTGCGCGTCCTGGCTCCTCCACTTCTTCCTCCCACTCCTCCTCCTCAAGGTCATATTGCACGTCATCCTCGACTCCTCTCGGGAGGATTCCCTCTTCTAGGCGATCTGGCCAAATCCTCTCCCTGGCAGCTGCTTGCGTAGTGTGGACATTCAGCAGGAGGATGAGGAAGAACACGAGGAGAAGAGGAAGCTGTCGTTGAAGTAGTAGCAGTGAATGAATTGCAGACATGTTCGCTGTGCACTGGTATGAGGCAGTTCCTTGATGTAGACTGGCTTTTATAATTTTTTGGTCAGTTGGTGTATGCAGTAGAATAAACAGTTGGTGTCCACCCACGAGATAGCAATTATTTATTGTGGAGTTGGCGGTTTTGGTATGGACTGGCTTACAAGTGCACTGGTTCACGTGTTCGCCGATGCACGTGCCGATGCACTTGCGGAGTTCGTCGTAGGGGGGAAGTTTCTCTCAACAAGGCCATCCAATTAACGAGTTCAGGTAGTGTGTTGGCGAGGGCCATCCAGAGAACTGACTTGTTTCAGCAAAACGATCAGGGAGGCCTCGCATTTCTACGCGTTGGTTGGTGCAATGTGTCCTGTAATTTTTGTTGATGCTGATTCCAAGCACCCGACATTTGCCCTTTTTCTTCTGGGATTAGATACTCAATTTTCCCATTACAAGTGTTATACATCCACGTATCTGACAGCCGAGGTAATACTTTAATTTGGGCCAGTACGTTGTGAAGACTGTTGACCAAATCATCTATCGACAAGGGAATGATGTATGGTTACATACCCCGGGAGTATTTGCGTTGAGCAAAAGAGCAAGACAACTAAGAGTTTTGTGGCACCTCAGATTTTGATACTCCCCATCGTCACCAATTTAAAGAGGTCACTATATTTTACAACTTAGTGATAATAGTAAATGGATTTACTGCCCGTTTGCTGGTATTGTCAAAAAGGTATTACACTGTCGTATTTTTAGTCCGATAAATACGTGAAAGAAACTCACCCTCACGCAACAGCCACAGCGGAGCCCATTTATCACTCTCTCTCTCTCTCTCTCTCTCTCTCTCTCTCTCTCTCTCTCTCTCTCTCTCTCTGGCACAAACTTGTTCCCTAAAGTAAATAACCCGGCCTATAAACCATGCGGTTGCCCCACTATCTGACAGGGATCAGTGCCTTATCTACCCTCTGTCATAACGGTACTTTCCTCTCCTCTGGTAGGCACAATATGGCAGCTGAAATCTCAATGTCTCTAACAAGATCATTACTGGGGAACGTACAAATGGCGGGACACTTTATATCATCGTTGAACATTACGTCTGTCGCCCGAAATATCCCCTACACACTGCCGCTAAATATGGGTCCATATAGCCCATAGAGCTACACATAGGCCATACAGACCCAGCTGGTTAGAGGTACTTCTTCAACCAAACATCTCAATGACTGTTTTGATTTTCGTTCTGGAGATGGAAAGGGTGAGAAGCTTCTGAGCCCATGCAATTAAAACCGGAGATTTCACCACGAGTTTCTCACTGTTGTGAGTACAACAAACAGAAATAGGCGCAGTGTGAACCATCATAGTTATCTTGTCACTGTTTGAGGCGCCGTTTATCTAATTCTAATTTGCTCATTAATCTAGCACAGTCAATGACCGTAACCGATCTGTCTTCCTTTGGAGGAAACCAACCTAAACTAAAACAACCATTCCCAAATCCATTTTGGTAGGTGTCATGTCACAATAATCCTCTCCGCGATTGTTGAGTATGTGGTGAGAGGATTCGGCTGACTGAGGTTACATGTGATTTTCACTATTCTGGTGACCCATAAAATTGGTGCTTCAAAATACTTCAGGACATCTCGAACACCGGCGTCTGTTCTACCCCACCGACGGACTACACGCAAGGTATGCAGTAGTGACACCTCAGACGACGGAAGGGCATGCTTGTAGCATATTCGGTCTCGTGTAAAGTGTGAAGATTCACACACTTAAACAATGAGCATAACCGTATTTCTGGACGGACAAAGTGTTCATCAGGACTCATTTATTGAAATGCTGCCGTTTCGGGACACGTAGCCAAAAAGAACACCAAATGCACGAAGCGCCAATGACTGCCCGAGACAGTCGGACTTCGCCTGATCGATTTTTGCCCTTTTCGCGTCCCCGGCCATATGGGGGATGTTTGGAGGCGTGCTGCGTGCTTTATGAGTCATCAACCCAGTGGCAGGTGGATGGGCCGCCACGGGGTTGTTTGGGCTGGCGGCTATTATACTCTCCCGTTGAGTGAGTTTTTCGTCCGTAGCCGTCTGCTTGGTGTTCCAAGTTCTGCATGACTGCCTTTTTCCGGTCATTACCAGTTTAATGACCCTGGACTTTACACAATGCAGACGCGTAAAGACGAATAAATTCGTTTCCTATCGTCTTGTATATGACGTCACTAGCCTAGAGGTCCGTAAGCGTCTGCTTTGTCAAGATCAGGAAACCATGGTCCTCGCAGCCTAGTATGCGCTGACAGTTCTTCGACACATTGTTCCTGGCCTGAGGGTGCGCTTGCGCTCCGGCTGGGTACACAGGTTGTGAGCATGGCTGTCCAATAATCTTCGTCCCATCTGACCCGTTGTGGTGTTGTTGCTATAGGTTAAAATCTTGGTCCATGGTTGTGTCTGTCAGGGGGTGTGGATTGGAGCGTCAAGGTGCGGGTCCTGAACCCCGGAAGTCGCACACTAAAATAGGGCGGGGGAGGGGGGAGTGGGAAGGTGTCACAGATGCTTGACTATCAGGCCATGACTGGGCTGAGTTTTGCCCTCAGTCAACAGCCAAAACTCAAGTGCGTTTAGGGAACTGAAAACTGCAAAGATGCCCTGAAAGAGTCGCCTTTTTGTGCGCATATAGAAACACTTTTGCGGGCGTCTGATGCGACACTGCTCATCTGCAACCAATCACTGACGCACCCAGGCCCTCGCTCAGGGCGCCCTGTCGCCTAACTCCCGTGATGTCAGACGTCTTCTGTCCGCCCCCCTAACCTACTTCAAACTTATGGCGTAGAGAATGCAACTGACATCCGGGTTCCACTCTTCCTACCCGGGAACTGGTTTGAAGGCCGTAGTGCCAGAGATGTATTCACAGCTTGAGGCTCCATGAAAGACATGTACGTATAGAATGGGAATTCTAGTCTATCGTCGGTATTACCAACCACTTAAGATGCAGCTCTTAGTTAAATGTATAAATCAACATTGCAGCCAGACGTGGTCCTTCGCTGGCAGTGAGGGCTATATGTAGAACAGTAACCGTCATGAATAGATCGTCGCTCTCCGAGTGAGGTGACAGGGTCATTAACTCGAAGCCGTGGCCAACGAAATCAATATATGCAGTGACGATGTTTGTTCGAACCATCTGAGCTTATGAAGTTTTTTACTCTGCCATCAATCAGAGCACAATTTGTAATATAAGCCCTGATCGAACCAATATTTTCGAGGTAAAAATAGACTCGGATGGGACCACAATGAGAGTAAAAATTCAGCTGAATGGTTTGAGATTGCCAGAGAAGCGTAACACGTCCAGCCAAATGCTGTGGACGCTAGCATCGTCATTACCAATATTGCTTTGCGTCCCCAAAATGGGTTTGACGGTGTTTATGCCTTCGGCACTACAACTGGGTTAAAATTCGGTGATGCGCTCTGCGAATTCCGTCGATGCATGACATCTTTTCGAAATTACCGTCGAGAGGAATATCATGAATGGAAGGCATTGATAAATGCATAATCAAGTCTAATGATGGCGGACAGATGACGAACAGCTTCTCAGACAACCTGAAAATGGCCATGCTGATTCGGCGATAGCTACGGCCCGAGGCACAGACATGCGGTGTGATAAAATGACTAAAGACAGGAGATTGCCGTACGAGAAGAACGTTTTATTCGGAAAGGCGTGTTCCAAAGTGACAAAGGTAAGATATTAAAAGATCGGTCGATGGAAAATTACAAGGGCACAGTGAAGATGGGGTAACGTCTAGCCGGTCGACGGCAGCGTGCTTCTTCGCATCTGCGTCTTCGCAGAATTCGTCCGATGCGTTCACGAACTCGTCTGATGCGTTCACGAACTCGTCTAAACCAGCCGGCAGCCGCGAGTGGATTCGTTGCACGCCCTGGCTCCTCCACCGCTTCTTCTTCCTCCTCCTCAACCTCCTCTTCGAGGTCATATTGCACGTCATCCTCGTCTCCTCTCTGGAGGATTTCCTCTTCTAGACGATCTGGCCAACTCCCCTCTCTGGCAGCTACTTGTGTGGTGTGCACATTCAGCAGGAGGATGAGAAAAAATACGAGGAGAAGAGGAAGCTGCCGTTGCAGTCGCGGTAGTGAATAATTTGCAGACATGTTCGCTGTGCAGTGGTATGGGGCAGTCTCTTGATGTAGACTGGCTTTTATAATTTTTTGGTGAGTTGGTGTGGGCAGTAGAATAAACAGATAGTGTCCACCCACGAGATGGCAATTATTTATTGCGTACTGGGCGGTTTTGGTGTGGACTAGCTAACAAGTGCACTGGTTCACGTGGCCGCTCGTCAGTGTTGAGTGCGAGGACTGCGGGGGCAGTGCCAATACACTCGCAGCATCTGTAGTTGAAGGATATTATTCTGATGATGCCACCAAGGTAACGATCATGGCCACTTTTTCGACGAGAGGCGTCCAAAGATTTGATTTGTCCGGGCGAGCGCTTTCGTAGGTCAAGAACATTTCGGAAGCTGCCGCCCTCCTCCTCCTCCTCGCACCATTTGGGTTTGGATTTACACAGAGACCGGAGGCAACCATCAGGCATCAGATAATGAGGCCGGAAGACCTGTTGCCACGGCTAGACACGTCTGGAATCGTTTTTCGCATCCGTTGCAGTTGCGGACAAAGCAACTACATTGAAGGGAATGGCACAACACGCTGCAATAGTGCGGAGAAATGGTGCCAACTCTCAATTTGTCACTCCTTGGACGAGGCCGAAATTCTCTCTAGAGATGACCACCCCGTGGTTCGCAAGCTGCTTCAGTCATGGTTTACTGCCCACCACTGTATTAACAAGTGCAATGCTCTTCCCATTCACTTTTGAACTCCCTACTTGTTTACAAGCAACTGAAAAATCCCAGAAACTGAAAACGGTATCATTAAGGTAACAAATGATCGGAAAAGCGTCAACTCTATGCAGATAGACGAACTGTCTTGAATGTTAGTGGTACGAGCAGTAGTACAGTGGTCGTTTCGAATGCAGGGTCATAAATAATAACCCCAGTGACAAAAGTTACATGTGTGCATACCGGTAAGCATAGGCGGTGGGTTGGGGACAATAAGGTTTCCATTTAAAAGGTTACTGAAGAATAGCAAGCAGTATTATAGCAATGGGATTTGTTAAGCTTGCAGAGGTCGGGTGGTAGTTTAGTGGACACTGCTATAGAAATCAAGTTTCCTCTTAAAGACCTCTTAAAGTTATTATAATGCAGTTTTTTTACTGCAATGACTGCGTTCAATAATAGTGACCACTCGCACGCGACAGTCAACGTGAGGTCTTCTTGTTTCATTCTCTGGCACGTACAAATATATATCGGCAGTCATTTTCCTTGGACAGAACTGCACCCTGGATTAAATAGCGCCGGCTAGAAACAATACACTTATCCCTTTATTTAATCGGAATCAGTGCCTTATCTGCCCTCAATCATAGTGTAGTTTCCTCTCCTCTAGTAGACACTATTTGGCAGCTCGCATCTCGCTGTCTCTAACAAGATCATTACTGGGGAACGTACAAATGGG